CATAATCAAATTGTATCGTTCTTTTTGTTTATACTGATTTAAAAACAAATCACTGAACTGGTACATGTTTAGATTATAAATGTTAATAACTTTGTTAAAAGTTACGTTTACAAACATACTCGGTACGTACGTAATATATTTCAAAATTTAATAACAACTTTATTTTTAAAATTAATTTTGCACGTACGGGCGGGTCTGAATCTAGTTATTTTAAAGTATAATATAATGTGACATATTTTGCTGAATAAGTTTTTAAATTCGATACAAAGAGGATCTTGAATAATTGAAGTCTCTCTTATGTGATGGAGAAGATTTTCAATTATGGTCTCTATTTCCTCATTTTATTTAGGTTGACTATAATTAACGTTGAAATGGAGATTTTCCTACACTCTAACTAGAGAGTGACCTCCATTTTGCGCCAAAGGTGGCACACCTATATATACATTTTTAAGCACATTTGGTGTTATAACTTTTTATTTTATAATATTTGCATAATAAATCCTTGATATTTGAATAAATAACAAAACTTTAACGTAAATTTTGTAATTAATTCACAATAGAATCCCAAAATTAGAAACCAATATTTATTACATTAACAAAATTTCCTGAAATATCTCCCTAATAAATTGAATATCTCACAAATATCTTTATATGATTTTATTTGTTTTGAAAATTATATTATTACATTTAAGTATATAACATATGTATAATAAAAATATAATTTTCCATATATGTTGCAATTTGAATTTTTGAAGACGGTCGTATATTACTGAATCTATAAAGAAAAAAAAAGTATGTACAGCGTTACACATCGGGTAAAAACTTTTAGACAATGGTTCAGAATCTTTATAAATAAGACTTATATGCTTCTAACTATGATTGTATTTGATTGAACAGGTTTGAGTTTACAAATATTATAGTGAACGGGTTTGAGTTTACATAAATATGTATGATTATTTTTTTCTTACGGGTTGATGAGTTAAATGAAAGATGTTACGCTATCATCGTATCATTATTTGACATATTATACATATTTAGTTAAGTTGATTAAATTACGATTATAAAATCAATTTCTTATATAGTATTCCACGGGTTAAATCATATAATTAACATTCACAATAAAATTGTACAATCTTAAATACTAAAAAAATTAATAAACAAATACAACTTAAAATAAAATAAAAATATTAGTTACAAAAAATTATCCAACGAGTTAAATAATAAAATATACAATCAAAATACAGTTACAAAATTTTAAAATACTAAAACAATTAACAAATATAACTTAAATATAAAATTTTTAGTAAAAAAATTGTCTCGCGGTGTACCGCGACTGAAAACCTAATAATAATATATAATGTTCTTCTTCTAATATGTTTCTTTGAAAACAACTACCATACAAATAAGGGATTATTATATGTTATGCCAATTATATAAGCAAAAAAATTAAGAGTGCCACTTTCAATAACTTATTTTATGTAGTGCCATATTATTTGGAAAAGACATGGGTGAAATGAAACAACTACCCATAGTAAAATGGAGAGGTTTTGGTGTTTGGTTCAAAAAGTTAAGGTTGATAGGACATTTTTCAGCTAAAGAGAGCATTAAATGGTGACAACTGTTTGTCCAAAAAAAAAAAGAAATGGTGACAATTGAGGCTATTATCCAGAGGACAAACGTTTTATTGGGTAATTAGAGAGTTAATTGAACCACAAAAAGAAGAATGAGTGTTGTTAATGGAGGACAAGTAAGAGAGAGAATTTCTAGAAGTGGTGAATGGTGAAGAAAGAGAACCAAATTTTTTCGAGCTTAAGAGGTTATTAGCAACAAACAAGATCGACAAAGGCATACAAAATTAAAAATGTCTATGGCTGTTTGAATGTCCATCAGGAAAATACCTCGTAGATGTGTGAATGTCCTGGAAAATCTCTCTTCGATGGACATTACTGCTCATAGCTTTGAGTCTAAGGACGAATTCAGTAGGCAATCTCTCTTCTATGGACATTACTCGTCTATAGACAACTGATGGCTCGAATATGTCATGAATTCTTGTCCATGATACTTTCATCGGATTTGGTCCACTAGATCTAGTCCATCAGATCTATTCCATCAGATTCTAGTACATCTACAGACAAATGTGTTATCCATAGCGTAAATTTGGTTAGATCGTGGATGACGTCTTTCATAGATGTATTATTTTTTTCATCCTCTGGTCAATCAGTTTTGGTTTTAAGAAATTTTAAGATAGACAAGATTAATTAGTAAACATTAACAAGTTTGGTCTACCGATTTCGATCTATCAGATCTGGTCCACTGAGAGATAAATACAAAATCTGGTCCACTGTCGGATCTAGTCCGTCGAAACCAGAACTGGTCTACCGGAGCTGGTCCACCGGAATTGTTAAGGTATTTGTTGTTGAAGAAAGAAAAAAAAAAGATGAAAGAAGAAGAGAAAGAAAGAGATGAAAGAAAAAGATGAGATGAAAGAAAAAGATGAGATGAAAGAGAAAGAGATGAAAGAAAAGAGAGAAAGGTTTAGAAGGCCAAATTTGACATTTGAATAACTTAAAAGTGGGTCATGTGGCATTTTTTAAAAAGTTGTATTGAATGTGGCATTTTTCAGAAGTTTGGCCGTTTGGATACTGTTCATGGTTCTAAAAATAACCATAGTGATAACAACATGTTAGATATGACAATAAGGTGTATATTTTTTTATTGTTTTACACTATGAATATGGGATTTGAGAGAATCAAATTTATGTAAATGCACTTAATCAATAAATAAATAAGATATCGAGTATCATTAAAAACTTTACAAGATCATAAAGTTTCTTCCATGATATGTTAAGTAAAAATGAAAATTTCATTACATCGTGTAAAATCACTTAATTCAAAATCAGTCATTGATTACATATTTACATGATTTAAAAATAATAATATGAGAATATACTTTTTATTTATTAATATTTTTTCTAAGTCTCAGTATCTATACTTTAATTAGGGAGCAAAAATTGTATCCAAACAGACCCCAAAAAAATATATATATATATATGATAACAAACCTGTTGCCAAACAAAATTAATGAAAACATATTTTTCTGGAAAAAAAAAATCAAAACTAATATATATATATAAATCATATTTTAAATTTTTAATATATTTCTACTTAACTTAAACTCATATATTAAAAAATTATTATAAATATGTTCTAAGTATTATAAATATTTAAAGTTAATAAAATGTTATAAATACTTTAAATTCAAATAATTTTTAAACTTAATAAAATTCTAAACATTTTTTATAATTTCAAGTATTTTACATTATTTGTCAGATAGTCTATTTTACATTTAATTATAATCAGAATTTTAATTTTTTAAATAATTTATCCAACAAAACGAGCTGATGTCATTATTTTGAATATATATGTCACTAATATAAATTGTAATTGTATAAAATACAATATATTTTTCACCTGTATTATAAATAGATAGCATATCTAGCCAAAATATATAAATTGAATTATTTTATTGCATTAAATACATTAATTTATTTTTAATAAATTGATACATGATCGTGTGATAACTTTTTGCAACATGATTTTAATCGTATGCAACAAGAGTACAAATATTATACAAGATGGGAACGAGATGGAAAGATATCTGAACGGAATGTAAGCATATATTTCGTACAAAAGTCTTAGAATATGTTACAACCAAAATTAATTAATGCTTGCAATTTTATTTGTAATTTTTACATCATCTAGCATAAAAATGTTTAAACTGAAAAATAAAAAACCATTAACTATGTTCGATAATTGTTAACATCTTTTAAAACAAGAAACATAACCAATATGGATGAACTAAATATATAAAAATAAGAATAACGAAGTCAATTATTTTCGTAATTTATTATTATATTAGATTGTATATAAAGATACTCACATAACATTCCATCGGAAAAAAAAACCTTGATAGCTAATTTAGCAAAACTACAATAAACCCATTAATTAAACCAAAAATATAGAAATACCTAAATTTGTAGAAAACAAAAAGGCTAAAACTTGAATCTTTGTATTGAAGAAAGTAATGGGAAATAAAGATGAAACTGAACGTTTAATAACATTAAAAATCGAAAAAGGGTTGTGTATGGTCGGATTATAGCCTTGAGAATCGAAAAAGGGTTGTGTATCTTAGATTGATAATTTGATTTTTATTAATTTAATAAAAATAAATATTGAAACGAGGAATACGGGTATCCCTTCTAAACTTCTTACCAAGTTTCTTATAATAAACATTGGCAAATGATTGTTTTTTTAAAAGACATGAGAGGTTTCCTAATCTAAACTATACGTAAAATAACTCAAATTAAAGCCAAATCCAAATTTGATCTCATTTAAAATCCCTAATCAAGCAGTTAGAAATGTTCTGATTGGTTTAAAAAATAAACACGTAATATCACTTAAATTTTTCATTTAAAGTATTTTAAAATTTTATTGTGTAATACAGTTTTATATAAATTTTACAATCATATGTCTATGTATAGTTTATCAAATAAACTCATATAATAAATTTTTATCAAAATAGCATCTACATAAAAAAATCTTAGGTTTGCAAAAACAACCCTGTGTCCATCACTAATATCGTTTTACAATTGGAAATTTCAATGTTTTTTGCTACCATAATATCTAAATCTAACTATTTGAAAAGTTTTATATATGTCAAAATCTTATAAAGAGATTTGACACATTACCATAATGTTAATTAATGACTAACTTTACAAAACTAACTTTATATAGAAAATTAATAAAAATTTACATCAAAATTTAATATTTAAAAAGAAAATAAAAATAAATATCTTCTTCAAAATGTGATATCAATTTGATGTATTCTTTCCTTTCTAATATCCTAATTAACTATTAGCAATTATTCTATTATTAGTTTTGATACTATAATTTTACTCTCTCTCTCTCTCTCTCTCTCTCTCTCTTTCTCTCTTGGTTCCTTTTAAACTTTTGTTATATTTCGATGATATCTGTGGCGTAGATCATTAGAGAGGTTTAGCGGTCGTTTCACATTCTCCCCAAAGGTGTTAATAGCGTGAGAGATAGATAGAGAGAGAGAGAGAGGAGATGTGACCAAACAAATCGAATTGAGCAGATAACAAATTCACGCTTCTTGGGTTCTCCTTTTCGTTTCTGAAATTTCGAAATCTGAAGCTTGAGAAATCTCGCAAAAAGGTATCATTTTTTTCACATTGTTATCTCCGTTTGGTGGGTTTGTTTTTGAGATTCTTCTGTGTATTGGGTTAAAGGGTTTAGTAATTAAGTTGTTTTGAATGTTAAAGTTGGAACCTTTGATGCTATTGTTTGATTTGTGCTTCACCTATTCTCATTGATCCAAAGAAAGGACTCTGCTTTAGAATTTGTCTACTGATTGAGTTAATTTGTTGATTCTTGTTGTTTAGGGTCAGCTTTTGTTGAGATTCTTCTGTGTATTGGATTAAAGGGTTTAGTAATTAAGTTGTTTTGAATGTTAAAGTTGGAACCTTTGTTTGATTTGTGCTTCACCTATTCTCATTGATCCAAATAAAGGAATCTGCTTTAGAATTTGTTGAATTCTTGTTGTTTAGGATCAGCTTTTGTTGAGATTCTTCTGTATTGGCTTAAAGGGTTTAGTAATTAAGTTGTTTTGAATGTTAAAGTTGGAACCTTTGATGATATTGTTTGATTTGTGTTTCACCTATTCTCACTGTTTGATTGGCAATTTTTTTGTTGTCTTGTTGGTCAGCTTTTGTTGAGATTGATAGAGTTTAGAGTATGATGATGAATTACTTTAGTCAGGTTTCTTTGATTGGTTCTTTAACTGTTGTGTTCTTGTTTTATGCAGGGAGAAAAATATTATGAGTTGGTGAGTTTCAGAAGCATAGATGACGATTCGATCGTTGCGTAAACAACCTCCTGTGAAACTTGTGTTTCCAACTCTGATTATACTTTTCTTGACATGTTTGTTTTGTATCCTCACGAATTTGCAAACCATATCGTATCTTTTTCGTCCACTTTGGGATAAGCCGCCGCCACCTTTCAAACGGATACCGCATTACTATGCTGAGAATGTTTCCATGGGGCATCTTTGTGAACTTCATGGGTGGACACCTAGGTCAGAACCAAGGCAAGTCTTTGATGCCATTATTTTCAGCAATGAGCTGGACCTTCTCGAACTCAGATGGCGGGAGTTGGAGCCTTATGTTTCGAAGTTTGTGATTTTGGAATCGAACACTACTTTTACAGGGATCCCGAAGCCGCTTTTCTTTGATTCCAATAGGGAGAGATTCACGTTTGCAGAGGGTAAGATAGTACATGGAGTGTTTCCTGGAAAAAAGCGTTCCAAGGGGCAGCCATACGAGGACCCGTTTGTGCTGGAGGGGCAACAGCGGGTAGCAATGAACTGGTTGCTTAGAGATGCTGGAATCTCGGATGGAGATGCGGTGATAATGTCAGATGCTGACGAGATTCCAAGTCCTCATACTGTGAAATTTCTACAGTGGTGCGATGGGATACCAGATGTAATGCATCTAGAGATGAGGGAATACATGTACTCCTTCGAGTTCCCAGTTGATTTCAGCAGCTGGAGAGCATCTGTCCATATATATAGTAGGAAGTGGACTCAATACAGGCACTCACGACAAACAGACTTGATATTATCCGATGCAGGGTGGCATTGCAGCTTCTGTTTCAGACGACTCAGCGATTTCGTTTTCAAGATGAAAGGCTATAGTCATGCAGACCGAGTCAAGCGCAAGGAGTTTTTGGATTACTCGAGAATACAAAGACACATATGTAAAGGTTATGATCTCTTCGACATGCTTCCTGAAAAATACAGTTTCAAAGAGTTGATAAGCAATATCGGACCAATCCAGCGTTCTGCATCTGCGGTACATCTACCTGCCTTTTTGATTCAGAACGCTGCTCGCTTTCGGTTTCTCCTCCCAGGAGGCTGTCTCCGAGAACCCTAGCTGAAGGTTAAGTACAAAACAAAATAGAGAAGCAGTAGTTTCTTGTAAAAAAGGTTTTTGGCGTCACACAAACTTCAAATCCGAAACAACGGATAAATAAGAAATAGATCCTTATCCCATGTTCTGTATATGGTGTTTTACATAACTTCTGGTGCGTTACAAAACCAGGCCAACACTCATCAAGCCAATCTTGTGCACCATCATCATCAGTCCCACTCTTGTACCAAATGAATTCAACTTAGAGATAAGCAAATATGAATCAAAGCACTAGAGAAATGAGAGGTAAGCCACAGAGTTTATATTGGGAGACTCATAATGAATCAAGAAAACAATATTACCAAGTAAGCCACAGCCGCTCGAGCCTCTCCTGGTCCGCAGCAACCGTAAGTAATTTGGCTCGAACGGCAACAATGAATCCTTTTCTCAACCGTTGTATTCAAATCTAGTTTCATTGTTGTCTTTACATAAAAAGTGATTATCATTTTCTTTACCTCTTGGCTTCAGAATTGATGTTGAACCTAGAAAATATTTTATCGAGTTAAGCATAACCAAAAAATAAATAATACATAATAATCGCATAAACAATCTCAAAATGGTTATGAATAACAATAATAAAATTAACAAATGATTCAAAGAGTTTGTCTTTCTTTACCGTAACATATTTGGGAAAATAGCAAAATTAACATAAAGTAATTTTTGACGGTATTTTTGTACCCAAACTATAATAACCATCAAGTAGCAACCTAAAGTCACAAAAAAATTCAAATTCTCAACTTAAACTATATGAAATTAGCTAAAATCAACATATACCGAAACTGCGTTACTTAACCACTTAACGACGCTGAGTCAGCTGACACCGTGGCAATGACGGGACATCGGAGTTGAGTAATATGACGTCGTTTCGTGAGTTTACGGTTCTCGAATTGATGATTCGATGAGTGTTTACTTTAGCAGTTCTTTGATTCGAGAATCCTAAACTCACGAAACGAAATCATATTACTCAATTCTGACGTTCCGGCATCGCCACGATGTCGGCTGACTTATCGCCGTTAAGTGGTTAACTAACACAGTTTCTATATGTTGATTTTGGTTGATTTCATATAGTTTAGGTTGGGGATTTGAAATTGTTGTGAGTTTAGATTGTTATTTGTCGGGTATCGTAGTTTGGGTATAAAAATACCGCTAGCAAATAGTTTGGATTGATTTTCGCTGTTTTTATAAAAAAAAGAAAATAAAGAAAATAGTAATGTTTTGCATGTACTTTGTAATATGTTCACATATATTATAGTGATTTGTCATATTTTTTTTTACTTTTAGTGAATGTTATTCGACTGAAATGAACAACTCACTCCAAATTAATGTGATTAAGAAAATTAGAATTATAACCACAAACTAGTTCTTAACCAAATACATATCAAGTATTATTTATAATAAAACTATGCGTGCAGCAAAGTAAAGTTCTCTGTCTGAGTTTAAGTTCTCATCATTTTCTCTATGTATATGACTAAGTTCTCATCATTTTCTCTATGTATATGACTAAGTTCTCATCATCATTATTTATAATAAAACTATGCATATGACTAAGATAGATAGATTGAAAGAAAGAAACTAAAAATCAACAAAATCTCTGTCTGAGTTTAAGTTCTCATCATTTTCTCTATGTAAGAAATATCAAATCTCACAATTATAAACGAAACAAAAATGGTCAATCACTAGAAAGTATTTCTTCATTTACCATTTTTTTGAAGTCAATACAATACCATAAAACTAACAAGAAATAAAGAAGATTGGGAAAAAAAGGTAATAAAAATTTACAGAACAAATCATATATCAAGCTAAGGCTCTTTAGTTTTTTTTTTTTTTTTTTTTTTTTGATAAACCCGATCGGCTGATCCGGTCAGCTCTGGGAGGATCACACCGAAGTGCTACAATGTGGACTCGTCGCCAATACCTAGGTGTTGAGCTACCACATCGCCTGAATCCAGATTAACGCTTTCCGACTAATGCCCGGGAGTTATCAGGCCGCCTGCATTTCTGATTACCAGGTAAACCAATTGGATCTAAGCCCAACTGACAGACTTCACACAAAGATGGTGTTAACAGCAAAGTGGAGAATTGAACCCAGGTTGTGGGAGTTGCACCCTTCCTCCAAGCTCCCCTACCACTAGCCCACCACCTCTTGGGCCTCTTTAGTTTTTTTAAACATAGTAATCTAATATCGTTTCATTTAAATAATACATGTACACCTAATTGTTTAATTCAATGATGAACATAAGAATTTTATAATCTTGAAAGAGAAAATTCCGAAAAATATCCATCTAGTTTTTATTTGAACGTTTAATACCTAATGTTTTTTGGTTAGAAGAATGATATCCAAACAAATAAAAGTGTGCAACTTAATACCCAAAAAAAATAAAAATTGTTATTCATAACAAACAAAAATTTCCGATTTTACCTTTACTAATTCTTAACTTTTATAAATATATATATATTAAAAATAAGAAAATTAATTAAATAAAATATAAAAATAAGAAAGTTTCTGGTTCCTCCTAATCAGCCGAGATTTCATTTCTAAAGAAATTCCGGTTAATCTCTTGAGGTTCACGGTCTCAGAACACTAAAATTCCGGTGAATTCAACAAATAAAACATATTTAATTATTATGGATATAGAGATGTTTTCCTTTGAATCTCCAATCCCTTTAAAAATATTAATATTTTCTGTAGAATCACTAATTTCTCATCCGTTGGTGAAATCGCATATACAAGCACAAGGTTCGAAGATGTGCTGATGTGCCAAACCCTAATTTGATAAAGACTAGCTGGAATCTCGTCGAAGACAAAATCTCAGCTTACTGGGAGGAATCGAAAGTTTTCTTAATTACCTTTAATTTATTTAATTATTAAATATAATAAATAGGGAAGAGTAAGGGTAAAATCAAAATTTTTAGTTTGTTATGAGAACTCAGGTATATAAATAATAATATTTATTTTTCATGTATAAAGTTGCATATTTTTATTTATTTGGGTATTATTATTCCAACAAAAAAAAATTAGGTATTAAATATCCAAATATCAAATAGACACGTGCGGCCCTGAGGTAACTTTCCCTTGGGTAATCTGGTATATTTGGAAAGCTAGGAATGCAAAGATTTTTGAGAATTTGGATGAAAGTCCTATGGACGTGGTTAATCTGGCCAATAGCGAGGCGCGAGCCTGGCAACAGGCCCAGGTTGATGACACGGGCCAACCTATGGCTTCTCAGCTTTCATTCCCTCGGGTGCGGGGCGGCCCACCATCCCTCCGTCCCTCTCTTATAGGCTACCACTGCTTTGTGGACGGCTCCTGGAAGGCAACTGATGCATTCTCAGGCATATGCTGGTTCTGTCAGCATTCCTCAGGACATTCAACGATCAGGGGGGCAATGAATGTCCGACGAAGTCTATCTCCTCTCCATTCTGAAGTGGAAGCGCTTGTATGGGCAGTGAGATGCATGGTTGGCCATAATTTCAGAGATGTTGTTTTCCTTACAGACTGTTCAGATTTGGTGAAGATGGTGTCTTCTCCTTCCGACTGGCCGGCTTTCTCAGTATACCTTGATGATATCCATATCGACATGGAAGAATTCTCTTCTTTTTCTTTATCTCTTATTCCAAGAAATGCAAATGTAAAAGCGGATTTTTTGGCACGCAAAGTTCGTACCATTCCGCTTCATGTCAAGTATGTAAACAATGTTCCCTCTGATTGGCTCGTTTGAGCCAATTTGTTAGTAAGTTTGTTGCCAAAAAAAAAAATATTAAATGGGATATTTTTTTGGAATTTTCCCAATCCTGAAATCATAAAGGTTTAAACCAAATTTGTTTTCCATAATTACTAATAAAAGTAAAGATAAATTAAATGTTACTTTTTCCCTGGCTACTAGCATAAAGTTTGATTATTAAGTAGCAAAATCGACAAGATTGAAAAAAAAAAAACACAAATGAGAAATTAATCATTTAGAATTTGAAGGAATAGAATTTGAAGTTTTTTTTCACTTCTTTTTCTTCTTCTTCTTCGATGCTTTTTGTGCACTAGAGCCACCACCACAAACAATGGAACACTCAATGCCACAAATGTTACCAAAACATGAAAACAATCCATTATCTCCTCCTTTCTTGTTCCTCCCACCTTGTTGCTTTGGGAGTGGAACAATCATCTGAGTATTTCTTGGTACGATTTCATTTGGCTTGTAACTTGATTTAGGGACATTAAAGGAGTTTGTTTTGTAGTCAGAACTTGGTTGATAACTTGAACCAACATCTACAACCACTGGTAGATTTGCTTGCCACCTTTCTAGCTTAGACCGAAGACCTTCAACGCTTCGTTCACCAACACTTATTACAGTACTTTCCGCGTCTAGTTTCCCTGTAAGAGCCTTCTCCTTTGCAATTTGGGCAGCAACCACTGAGGCTGAAGGACCTAAATCAGATTCTGTAATAACTATTGGTCTTGACCTCATTGGTGTTCCATATTCGATACGGTTCCTTTTAGGAGTATATGCTGTCGTGTTCCTTGGCCTCATCGGTGTCCCATACACGATTTGTTGCTTCTTTTGCCTCAACAATGTGTTTGGTGTTTTGCTTTGGGACTCATATACAACCATCTGAGAGTCAGATGAAAACTCATCTTTCTCAAAACCCGAGTTTGTAGTATAACTCATATGGGATTGTGTCACCTTCCTTGGAGAATCCACCATTGAGCTTGTATCACTTTTCGACCGTCGAAGACCTACAGGTTTTGTAGATATGTTTTTCTTGTGAAACAACAAATCTTCTTCATACAAAAGTGGCATACTATGGCCCGAGTTATCGATAAGCCCCACCGCAATATTTAAAAGGCCGTGAGGGCGGCCAGACGCACGAAGAACCTCTAAGGTAACAAATCTCATAGCTGAAGAAGGTGAGACAAGGTCACTTATTAAGGCTTGTACCGTTCCAACATGAATGTCTTTGAACCAATGCAATGCATAGATCTCTATAACAACTATTGTTGTATCATCGTAGGTTGTTTCCTCATCAAGACGAAACACAAACTTGTCGTTCCATGTAGGTGTTGTTCCACCCGTATTGTCGACTCGAGTCATCAGTTTACGCTCCGGATCGATCCAAGCGATAGCATATGTCTTCATACACCGTGCCACGGGAGCTAATTCTTGGGCCGAAATAATATTCAGCTCCAAGATTTGACAAGGTGCAAGAAAAGACATTTTTCTTGATTTTCTTGATTACAAAACCAAATCTGAAAAAGTATCAAAGGAAATGTAGAGAATGAGATTTGTTTTTATCGGTTTGATATAAAGACAGTTCCGTCGTCGTCCTTGGAGGGGACGACGAAGGAAAGCAATGCATGAAGATGAAAATGGAAAAGCAAATTAACAAAGACACCCAAAAATAATAATCAGCAAAAAAAAGATTTTTTATTTTTTTTATTTTTATTAATTTATTTGTTCTGGTTTTTGTTATTTTAGAACACCGAATCAATTGCATTACTTTACGTTGACTACTATTTTCTTACATTAATCTCCTGTCACTAGTTTTAGATCTCTCTTTCCCTATTTTTTAGAAATTTTATTTTAGGTTAGTTTCTGTTATATATTACTCTTAATTCTGGATTTTTTAGACATTTGTTATTGTTGCAATTACTTAATTAGAGATTTACTTAGAAAAAAAAAATGGAAGTTCTGCTTGGTTCTCTTTGATGAGTTCTTAGAAAGTGAAAGATCGCTAGTAATGAGTCTTATTGGGAACACAAAGATGTACAAGTTTTTTAACTGTAATCTAGAGCGGTAAACTGTTACAAATTAAATAACGCTTTTAGTAATACTTTAATATCGTTTCGGTGATTGGTAATTGTCATAGACGATTCACCATGTACCATGGTGGTACGCGTCACCAATCAAAGCCAATATTAAAAGTAACTGATGAATTAAAAAAATTAAAGGCCTATAGCCAATGCCATGGTTCACTATATTTATGACTTCCATGGGTTTATAAATAGATTTGTTGAATACTTAAGACCTTATTAAGACCTTATGTTCCTTCATTTTGAAATAAATCTTCCAAACCAAGTCGTCTTGGTCCAGTGATAAAGGGAGATAAATTCCTTCACCTGGGTTCGAATAGTATTGGCCATGGAGATTCGAGATTTAATATGGTTTTTCCCGGCCACAAAAGATTTGTCTTTGGACCTAGAGAACCTTTGGGATCATTCCCGATAAGAAAAAAAAAAAATCTTCCACAATGGCTTTAACAAATTGAACACCTATACATATTTAAATCTTCCACAATGGCTTTAAAAAATCTTCCACAATGGTTTTTAAACCAACATCCATACATATTTAAAATAGGACTAATAGGATATTTAGTATATTTTGAGAAGTTAATTGGGGAAGTGATACATTTACTATTCAAAATTGTCAAAGTAGTACATTTGTGAGATAGAAAAAGAAGGAGAAAAAATGACAAGGGAGGGCATTTTTTTTTTCTTTCCTATTTCGTTTTTCTTTTTGTTTTTTGATTTTTTTTTTTTTCTATTTTTTTTAATATTCTTACTCCAACATTCTAATAACTAAAAATTCTTGTTTTTGTAATCATTTTTCAAAACTTTTTTTGATTCACAAAAATCTATGTTTTTTTTCTCTTTAACTTGATATGCATTTTGCTTAGTAAAATTTAAATACATTTCATATGTATATATTTTTTTGTACACTTTAGTATATGTACATACATTTTGTACACCTGATTAGATGTACAGAGTACCCGTACAGCTTACTATATGTACGCATGTATAAAAAATTACACATTTTTATCCGTACAATTACTATGATATATGAATTTATGCATATTTATGTACATATTTGTACACTAATATGTTGTACGGATGTTACTGTGTAATATTTTTATTATTGTACAAATATATGTTTTTACACTTCTGTACATAAAATATGATGTACAAATTATATTATATAATCATTATATAATTATTCTAATGGCATACTTGTAAATAATATGTTTTTTGAGTGCTTAAAGGTCAACAAAATAGTAGCAAATAATGATAATGTACTAGTTTCCTAAATATAAATAGTGATTGTACTAGTTCTATAATTAAGTTTCAAAAATGTACTATTTTCTAACACACCCTTTAAAATATGGTGTGGAAATTACAAAATATCCTCTTCCCAAACATAGTTTTGGACTCAAGTTCGGTTCCACTTAAACATCCTAAGAGCACCCATCCCTCGTACACATAAAAACGAACGGATTGAGACAAAGTTAACTGAGTAATAAATAATTTGACCTTTTGTTTAATAAGTTTGTTGGTGATCATAGCAAATAAAAACATAGATAATGTAGTAAAAATATAGAAAGGAGAAAAGAGAAAACATGAGAGTTGTTTACATTGAGAGGAAGAGAAAGATAGAGAAAGAGTTGTAGAAATGGATTAGATTCTAGAGAGAATGAGAGGGATGTGGTTCTGAAGATAAGTAGAAGCAGCTGCAACTCCACTTCCCATTACAATCGGGTACCCAACATCCTTCAGTATCATCTCCACTCCAGCAAGACATCCCAAAAGTTGCAACTGCATATATGATTTGTAGTGTTTGATTTAGAGTTTGATCAATCAAAGATTTGATTACACTAAGCTGTATAGCTCATAATGTTACCTCATTCACATTTCCAAGGTGTCCAATTCTGAAAACCTTTCCAGCCACTTTGTTGAGACCAAGACCAAGACTTAGGTTGTACCTCTGCCATGCCCTTCTCACTACCTCTGAGCCATCTATATTTGGGGGCACCATTACTGCTGTCACAGTGTTACTTATCCACTCCTCCTTCTGTGTGCAGTTCTTCAGCCCCCATGCTTCCACCGCCAGCCTATGTACATGACCATATTTACAATCAAACTCTAGTAACAATGTTATCAAGACTTGTTGTACTAATTAACAAGACTTTTAAGTATTTAAACTATTCAAGACTACGAATTCGAGTACTCGCTTTGGATAGATAATGGAACAATATCGCGTTACATAGCTAAACTTTACCTGGTGGCCTTTCCGAGACGAGCATGACGAGCGATTATATTCTCAAGTCCTTCCTCGAAGATAAGATCAAGAGCGGCTCTGAGACCGTAGAGGAGTTGAATGGAAGGTGTGTAAGGCCAATAGGTTCCCAGCTTGTAAAACTTGAGGTAGTCATTCCAATCAAAGAATACTTTGAGGGATTTAGAGGTTTTGGTAGCTTCCAAGGCTTTAGGACTAGCACACACAATACCAAGTCCTGTTGGAAGAGATAAGGCTTTCTGAGAGCCGGTCAAGGCAACATCCACTCCCCACTCATCCATTCGGAAATCAAGCGCACAAATGGACGAGACACCGTCCACAAGCAGCAAAGCCGGATGCTTGTAGTGATCTGTTTTATACACTTGTGTTAGTGAGATTTAAAACAGAGGAAACACACAAAAATACAAGGAAATGGTTTGTAAAGAGTTAATAACCAAGGAGGGTTCGGACAGCAGAGATGTCGTTGGTGACTCCAGTAGCTGTCTCATTGTGGACAATGCAAATGGCTTTGATGGAATGACTCGCATCTTCAGAGAGCTTCGAGGCCAACACTTGGAGATTAGCACCTTGTCCCCAATCACTCTCAACCACATCAACATTGAAATTTAGCCTCTTCTGCTGGTCAATCCAGAGCAAGCTAAACTGTCCGATCAGAAACGAGACGATCCTGTCTCCAGGAGATAGCGTGTTGGTCAAGGCACTCTCCCAAGCACCAGTCCCTGTGGTTGGAAACAGAAAAGGTGTCCCAGATGTTGTCTTGAATATCTTCTTCACATCTTCCAACAAAGTTTTCGTCAGTGCCGGAATAGCCGGTGACCGGTAATCCTCGTTGTTCCGGTTCATCGCCCGGATCACCGGTTCCGGTATGTTCACTGGCCCTGGCACAAACAGATGGTGCCTCCCTGGTCCATACATGTAGTCCATTTTTCTCCTTTTTTTCTTTTCAACCCTCTCCTTCTGTACTCTGTCAAAAGTTTCACAAGACTTCTAAATTATATTCACAAACTCAAAAATATAAGATAGAACCATATGGAGACTATTGGCTACTATAAACTCCAATAAACGTATATAGAATTAAATACAAAGATCATATCTTATTTAAGCAAACAAATAATATATACGTTACAAAGAGTTATAACAAGTTTCATGGGCAAGATCATATACTCATAACAAGCGGAGAAAACTAAGGCAGAGAAAGAGAGAGAGAGATGGAGAAGTTAACCTCTGAATAAGGGGGAAGCTCCTGAGGGGGCCTTTAGGAATCCTTCGTCTTCACAAAGCTCTTTAATATATATCTTGTAAAATTTTTATTATTTGTTTAATTTTTTTTTTTTTCATTTTTACATGTTTGTGTACGTATCATATTAGTTTGTAAGTTTGTGTATACCAATCAAGTAGCTTTGCCATATTGGAATCTTAGACGCGTGGCGGATAAGAGCAACGTGAAAAATCTTTGAGCTTACGTATGGCTCATAATGCATTTGTAGTACCTTTGTGTATTTGCTCCTTCTTCTTTCTTTCTTTTGAAATTTTCCCCATTAGTTTTAATTTGTTGTTTTTTAAGTCTAGTACTAATAGTGTTTATTTGAAAGATGAGAATTCTAGTTTGAGAGTTATTTTCGAAAGAGATAGTGTACATACTAAAACTATTTCTGAGTCTCGAGTTTTAAGGTAAATAAATAACAAAAAATAGAAAAAGATTAAAAAAAGAAAAAATTAGTTTATTTCGTGAGAACTCAAGTACTAATGTTCAAATAATTTGTGTCTAAATAGTTTTTTTTAAATGATGAAAACTTTAGTATTTAGAACAATTTTCGAAACAGATTTATTAAAAACTGCTTACGAACCAAACCTATTCAGATTAGGGTTTGTTCCGAAGTTTTTCGTATATCAGAGGGAAAAAAATGAAAGCAAAACATAATGAGATATAGTAGGGGTTGTGGTGGGGTTATTGGGGACAGAGTAAATTTTGAAAAAATTTAGGCTATACAATAAAAGTTCTAAGAAAATTATTAAATACCCATTCTTGAATTTGTTTCGTAAAAACTCAAATAGTAATATTCAAATGATCTTTGGTCTATTAGATTATTTGAAAGTTGAAAATTTAGTATATGAACAATTTTCGAAAGAGATTACTAAAAACAGCTAACGAACCAAACCTCATCAGATAATGATTTATTCCGAAGTTTGTGGTAAACCAAAAGGAAAAAACGGAATGAAAAACATAATGAGATATAGTGGGGGTTGTGGTGGGGTTATCGGGGACGGAGTTACTTTCGAAAAAAGTTGGGGTATAAAACGAAAGTTCTAAGAAAATTAGGGAGTGAGATTGTAATAGGAAAAAATACGAAAGATAAGAGGTGGAAAAGGGAAGAGGGAGAGATAAGGAGATAAAAGGGAGAGAGCCACACAAGTTTGTTTTGCAACAAAGACCACACGACCGAACGCCGAATCCTCGGGGACACTTCTTCACTATCTCTCGCTCTCTTGTTTTATGGTTTAGGATTGTATTTTGCCACACTAGATGACACAAATATACTTATTCAACAAAAAAAACTATATTTAGGTATTGAATGTAAAGATTATATATGTAAAATACAAAACTTTATTTGGCCAATCGATTAGGATGTTTGAATTTTTCATTTACATTAAAAAACATATTTGGAGTAATTTTTTATATAATTATATTGTATTTACTAAGAAATGACAAATTATTTAATTATTAACGAGTTTGAAACTACTTAGAACACTGCAAAAAAAAAAAGGAGTAATTTTTTAGTTTATTCATTTGGGCTAAGAGGCTTCCTATAAACAAGACATGATTACTTAAAAGTAGATATAATAAGTGTTAAACTACCAAATTTTGTTTGTAAACTTTTTCTTCTTTCTTGGATTTCCACGAAACAATATTTTAATAAAAGTTTGGTTGAAAAAAAAAAACTGGATCAACTCAAGATTATCCTAAGATAATCTTTAAACATCACACACACATAAATTATCATATCATATTTCATATTCCTACCACTTATTTAATTGTTTTCTTGTCTATGACTTCCACCTCATGTCTTAAGCGATAACATCTCACTTTTGGCTAATAAATGACAAAATTACCGAAATTAATATATTGAAATGCTTTTTTAAATTACATGTATAATATAAACAGTTTAAATTGGAAAAAGGATTTCTTAAATGGCAAAAATAACATATCGATAAATACATTATCTGGTATGGTCTCGGACCTGATAAAATGTATTTGTTTCGGTTCGAAATCTCTTATTTATTCTAAAATAAAATAAAATAAATAGCATATCTATAAATATATTGTTTGCTTTTTTTTTAATTACCTCTTGATTGATTATTCTATAACTATAACTATTGATGAGTTAGCTCCACTCGACTTTGGTATGTTTGTGGTATTTGTTTTTGAAAAATTAAAATATGTTTAGAACATTTGATATTTTTGGTAACAAAAATTAAAAATATAGTATTTGAGTCAATTTTAATTATAGTTGTTGATAAAAAAAAAAAAAAAAAAAAAATCTAACATATAGTATTTTGAGAAATTTCTTTAAAAAAAATAAAGGTTATGTTATCATTTGATTCCAAAATTATGTTTACGTTCGAAATCCTTCTCTCCAAGAGCTTTTTGGTGCCGATGTTAGCGAGGTTGAATCGATGTAGACATAAGATGTGTTCCCCATCACGTATAAAATGACAACCTATCAGTTTTTTTCTTGATTCGTTCGTAAAATACAACATTGGTTCTAAAGGTTTCTACAATACCTAAGTATAACAAGTAGCAACAACTATACAAATGATGGTGTGGGTTTTTCATTGAAACTTTCGAAATGTAAAAACATAAGAAAACACAGAATATAATGTAAAAATTAAAATTAACAAAACTGGGTAATGTACAATTTGCTCTATTCCAAATGGGTAAACATATATATAGATATATAAGAAAAAAGGAAATGGAGTTCAGCAACTCAAGACTACATCCACAACTATTTTTATACCTAAGCAAACCCAGCTGGTAAGTGCTATCTCATCTCTTTGCTCTGAATAACAAAAGTTATTTTCTCCGGTATATATATCATTCCGTCAGCGTCAGCATCAGCTAGTCAGAGGCATGCTAATCTCCAATTTGAGCCAACCGAAACCGAACCATTGCTGCTGTGTTTCCGACTTTCGTTTAAAAAATGAAATCTTCCGCGTATCTATTGTAAAACCAGAGTTCAACCGGCAAATGCACAGCATATTGTATGGGTACCAGAACATAGTATTACTTATCTCGGGGGAAACCCAGTTTGACGTGCCCGATGGTTTCTATCCAATGGCCCGGGGCCGAGTATTCCCAGTGAGTTAGAGTTGGTTACCGGGGGTCGCTCAGACTGCGGGTCGTTTTCTGTTCTTCTTCTCCGTTTCCATGCTTCAAACTTTGCTGTGTCAATGCCTTTATATACTTGCTGTGATCCTTGGGAATTCCCTGCTGTTTTGAATTTTTGTTGCCTCTGGAAGTTCCTAGAACCAAAGCCAGCAGATGAGCCATTGAGGTGCGATGGTCCAACCCCTTCCTCTTCTTCTTTCTCCTGCTTCAGTTTGGAGTATATCTGATTGAGTCGATCCCCCGACAAATTTGAGAAAGTTGAAACATAGTTCCACAATCTCATTGTCATTCCTGCATTTTGATTCCCCATCAATGATACAACCATGGACATTAAAATTGTTATCTGAGTATAAGCGTATTTTGCGACTTAAGAGGCTAGCAGGGTTTATCCAATTATCATCAAGTTTTGATTCTGAATTTATCCAAAAACAGAAATGTGGCGGCAAAGTAACCAGAGATTGTGTTACTTACTATCTTGCTTGTATAAATCTTCTTCGTGTTCTAAAACAATTTCATCTATTCTTCGCCCTAGGATTTCCAAATATCTCCGGATTTTGAAAAGCACCTGCGTGGTGGACACAAGGAGTTTTGAGAAAGATCAGATAAAGACACATCAATGTGCCACTATGAACGATGGAAGAGAAGAATAATAAAAATGAAACCTTCTCCTTTGGCAGATCTGCACTCGTGGTTTGCAATCTTTGTAAACGTCCAAGAGTTTTGATTTCATCAGCCAAGACATCTTCACACCATTCCATCCATTTCTGCTCCTTGAACTGCTCGTAAACTTCCTCATCATCAGACATTTCTCCTTCTTCCTTCACTAATGGCTCAGCTTTTTGTGTTTTCCGAGATCCATCTTTTGTTGATACTAAACTTATATTGGCAGGACCCGGTTTTCCTCTTCGGTCTCTGGCAGGTGCTTTAAATTGATTCATAAGATTATCTTTAACCTTTTTTGAATTTTTACGGGATGCTTTGGCATTTGTATTTTTCCCTCCTGCTGCAGCAAGTTCCTGGTAAAAGTAAACTTCATACTGTCATTCTCTTCTTCAAGGAAGGTTATAACAAAATTAATAACTAAGAGAAATCATAGCAAGTAATATGCACCATTTCCAGAAGTGCAGTGGCACGCTCCTTCAAGTTTGGAGCACGAGGTAGAAAAGTCTCATGGTGTTGAAGTTCAACAGGAGCAATCTTCTTTGTAAGTCCAAGGCTCTCATCTAATCTTATCTTTTCCCAATTTCCAAAACCATGATAAAGTATTCCCAGAAGCAATCTCGCATCATCGACTGAGAACAACAAATAATAAAATGAATTAGGATGAAAATACACAAGACAGCTTATAAGATAATATTGAATTAGGTTACACATACTCTGATTCCAACCGCAACCCTTTGACCAATTTGACGGTTTAAGGTATGACAACACCCGGAATTGTGAAATTGGATCGTCATATCGACTAATGCGCTTTGATAGGAGCTGAAGCCCTTGCACACGTTTTAATAGTTCGTTCGCTTTTACTGGCACACCAAAGAAATCCAGCACAGGACCCTGCAGAGGATAAAAAACAGGAAGATTGGAAATATCCAAGTGAACAATTAGGAAAACAAAAGAGTCTCCAATTCAGATGTTTTATTTCAGGTGGTACCTTTGGTTCAAAATTTTCTGTTTCAACAGATTCCCTACAACCATCAAGTAAAGCATCAAACAGCTCAACTTGAGCTTCCTCCGGAGCTGCTTCAACAACACCACCCACCTCTTCTGCAATACATGCAATTTGGTTATGGTTCCCAAACTTCATGACCTGAATTAAACATGAGACATGTAACAAGCGTCAGTACAACAATTTGAAAATAAAAGTAAGTAAACCACTTAGAAACTAATGGTGCAGAGGGAACCATAACAAAAATCATGAAATCATTGCAGCATAACAAATTGAGGAGC